GGGGAACCCCCCCCCCCAACTGGACAAGCCCCCCGCAGCTCTGTCCCACAATCCGCCCCAGCCCTACCTCCTATTCAGCCCGGTGCCTGCCCCTGCCCCACTCCCTCCCTTGTTGTGGGGGCCTCAATCTGCCTGCCCCGCCCCTTTCCCTCCACAGATTTACCAGCGCAGTGTTGTGTGTGTGTATGTGTCTGCTCCTCACTCCCAAGCCACAGCCCCCCCAGCCCTGCTACTGCCCCTCACTCCTGACCTGTAGTACCCCCTATCCTGCCAGGGTGTGCAGGGCTCCCCCTCCCCGGGCTCCAAACCACCCCCACACACCCACAGTACCCCACACCATCCCAAATTCTCCCCATACACACACACTCCACACCCGTCTCCCAACCATACAAAGTACCTGCATAATTTTGAGCTTTTCTGAACATAATTTTGAGTTTTTAGCAGTGGAATTAAAATTGTGATTAATTGTGATTATTTTTTTTAATCACAATCAAATGTTTTAATCATTTGATAGCCCTAAGTAAAACACAATGGCCATTCTGCCTTAATGTTTCCATGCACTATTACTGAAAATTAAGCATGAGAGGAATCAATACCTCATCTTCTGCAACAACTTGCTCCTCAGCCCCACAGATCAGGTAGATACTAAGTTACTTCTCTCTGCCACTGCCCTCCTCACGCTCAGCTTTGGAGAACCATGTGCAACACTGAGCCCTCGTGGTATGCAGCTTTGTGTCTCTGAGTAACCATGCAGCACAGATGAGAATATATTTAAAAATCACAGGGGTTACTACAGTGCTGCTCATGGTCTTTCAGCAAAACAAGGAACTCTCTGTGAGGCATATTTCTTTAATTTTCTTCTCCCATGCGTGTGCATATGCATGCACACACAGAAATATAATTGCTGAGAAACAGAATAGTTTAGCAGTTGTGGCACTGACTTGGGGCACAGGAGACATAGGCTGAATAATTTATTATGGAGCAAAAAGGGGCAGCTCCATAATAAATTATTATCAGCTGCTCTGTGGTATTTGTCCGTGTCCCTGCACTTACCTCATGGTAAATGAAAACTAACCTGTGGTAACTTATTCCTCTTTCACTAAGGACTAAAACGTACTGTGGTTTACCTCCAACTTTTCCACTAGAGGAGCGCCATACACACAGGCAGTTGCTGTAAAACAGCCGGGACATGGTAAATCCCTACCCCCTTTTGCCTCACATTAAATTGTTACTTCTCTTTGTCCTGGGTTCCCCTCTCAGTTCTTTTGCATTTAGACTGTAAGCTCCTCAGGCAGGGGCTGTATCTGTACAATGCCCCATGATCCAGTATATTACACATAACCAAATGACAGACACAGACAGGTAGCTATAAAAACCTCACAAATTCTACCAGTCTTTGCTAAAGTCAGTGGTTATAAGTGCTCAGAACCATTGAAGTAGGGTGCTCATGCCTGAAAGCTTGTAAAGAACATTTTTTCCAACTTTTCAGTTGGTCTAATAAAAAATATCATATTTACTCATATAACCTTGTCTGCAGAACCACTGAGGAACAGGCTGCCCTAAATGCTCTTTGTGCTGCATAATCTGAGTATGAGAGAGGCAAAGTGGTGCAATGCTTTGATTTCCTGCCTCTGGCTGATGAGCCTGCTGGTGGGGTATGGTGAGGAGACCATGAACCACATATTAAATTCTACACTGGTAGAATAATCTCTGCTCCTAAGTGACAGCTACTGTTTACTCAAGGATATTTTATGACCACAGATAAGAACAGAGGGTTTTGAATATGATGGCCCTTGTTACACATTACATATATTACACAATTAACTGGTGAATTGAGTAATACATTTAGACTAGCCACACATGCGAAGTAATTATCACATGATAAAAATGACTGTCCAGCTATAGAAAGAGCCAACCAGCTTTAAAGCTACTGCTTCAAAATGTGTAACAGCTCTATATCTGGTTTCTACCCAGTTTTAATATGAACTTGTAGCATGAGGCTGAAGTTGGTTCTTTATTCCCAGTTCCTTATTCCCAGTTCTCTATTCCTTATTCCTGGTTCCTTATTCTGGGTTCCTTTTTTAAAGGTAATCTAGACCCAATAAAAACTTGTTATTAATGATTTCCACATCCTAAAGAAAGAGAATTTCATTAACTATGCATACGTACTAATTAATATGTGAAATAATATTCCACATCAAGTACAGAGCCCTAAGTGAAGATCAGATTAGGATGGGATTATGGGGCAAAATACTTCTTGGGCCACCCCAGATTTCACTGCAATGCCACTGGGGAACTGTCCCAAAGAACCCTGACCACAGTCCTGCTTGGCCCAAAGCATGGTTTGGCCGTGCCAGGCTGCCAACTAACAGCTCCCATGCCCACTGTACTAAGTATAATGGCTTGAATAAGGAACTATCTTTCAGGCTGGGATCATGGCTAGAAATTCTGCTTGGCCCACCCATCATAATACCCTGTGCCACCAGGGGACTGTCCTGGACATCTGTGACCAGAGACTTACCCGGCCCAAACTGCGGTTTGGCCGTGCCAGGCTGACAACAGACAGTACTTCAGCCACTGTGCTAAATACATGGAACTGAATGAGGAACTGGATTTTGGACTGGGACTATACCAGGAAATCCTTCTTAGGCCACCCCAGAACATGTCTCTGTGCCACCAGGGGACACTTCTGGACATCTCTGGCCAGAGATTTCCCGGGCCCGAAATGCAGTTTGGCCATGCCAGGGTGCCAACAACAGTGCCCCAGCCACTGTGCTAAGTATATGGAACCGAATAAGAAACTGGATTATGGGATGGGATTATACCCAGAAATCCTCCTTGGGCCACCCCAGACTGCACCTCTGTGGCACTGGGGGACTCTCCTGGACATCTCTGACCAGAGACTTGCCCAGCCTAAAACAGTTTAGCTGCACCAGCGTGCCAAAGACTGCACCCCAGACACTGTGCTAAATGAATGGACCTGAATAAGGAATTGGATTTTGGGCAGGGATTATACCCAGAAATCTTTCTTGGGCTACCCCAGACCATATCTCTGTGCCACTGGGGTACACTCCTTCACATCTCTGACCAGAGACTTGCCTGGGCCAAAACGCGGTTTGGCCATGCCAAGGTGCCAACTAACAGCGCCCCGGCCACTGGGCTAAATGAATGGACCTGAATAAGGAATTGGATTTTGGGCTGGGATTATACCTAGAAATCCTTCTTGGGCCACCCCAAACCACACCTCTGTGCCATGGGGGGATGCATCTGGACATCCCAGAATAGAGACTTGTCTGGCTGAAAGCATGGTTTGGCCATGCCAGGATACCAACAGACACAGGCTTCAATGCTGGGGTCTAAACGCACCAGACCCCAGCCTTGGGCAGGTAGTGCTGAGACTTAACCCAGCTGCTGTGCTAAGTATATGGAACTGAATAAGGAACTGGATTTTGGACCGGGATTATACCCAGAAATCCTTCTTGGGCCACCCCAGACCACATCTCTCTGCCACCGGGGGACACTCCTAGACATTTCTGAACAGAGACCTGCCTGGCCCAAAGTGTGGCTTGGCTGTACCAGGCTGCCAACTGACAGCACCTCAGACACTGTGCTAAATATATGGTTTAGAGTTAGGAATTGGTTAGCAGGCTGGGATTAGAGACGGAAATGCTTCTTGGGCTACCCCATGCCATGACTCTGTGGCACTGGGCCACTCTCCTGGATACCCCTAACCAGAACCTTGCCTGGCCCAAAGCGCAGCTTGGTGGTACCAGACTGCCAACTGATAGCTCCCCTTTCCCACTGTACAAAATGCATTGTCTTGAATAAGGTTCTTTGGGTGAATCTGATATCTTTTAATAGACCAATATAAATAGTTGGAGAACAATTTTTAAGACCCTTCATCAGGCTAAGGAAGTTTCAGCAGTTGGTGTGTGCTCTTCCTGGATGGGATGAATGGCAGGGGAGGGGGGGGGGTAGGGGGAGAGCTACAGCTGCAAGCCCCACCACCCCAAACACAGATGCATTCTATTCCTGAGCAGCCATGACATCGGTGCTGCCTGTGGAAGCCAGGCGGTGGGAGCAGTGTCTGCACCTAACATCCCTGCACCTGCACCACCTCTGCTCAGTCCAGAAATGGGCACCAGCACTGCCTCTTCCACCCCAATTTCAGCTCTCAGCCTGAGCCTCCCACTGCCAGAGGAGGAACTGGAGCTGGAACCAGGCATGCTGAGTGCGCTGGCTCAGGCAATTCTGGGGACTAAGGGGGAATCAGAGTTTGTGCTCCACACTCCTCATGTTTCCCCTAGACCCAGGTCTCCTCTGGAAAGCAGCACCTTGGAGGAGGCTGAGGTTGTGAAGGCAAGTGGCTCTGCTGAGGCATCTCCTGCTGTTCAGCCTCAGCCTGCTGAGAAGGGGGAAAAGGCAGGATCCTCACCCTCAACCCAGAAGGAGGGGAGTAGCATAGTGTGGGATCATTTTGAGGTGGCAGATGATCCCAGGTTTGCCATCTGCCAGTTCTACCGAACGCACATGAGCCGTGGCAAGGACATGAGACACTTCTCCACCACGGCCATGCTGCTGCAA